GTTTCTCTCTCATCGATGTTTCTAGCTCTCTATCCCTCTTCCTTCCTCTCTGTAAAAAATCAATAAAATATGTATTAAAAAAATAAGTAAAAATAAAAATAAAGGGCTGTGGCATTAGAAAGGCTGAGAACCACTGCTCTGGAGCATGCCCCTGCCCCTTCTCTGGCATGAACTTTTGACTTCCCCCTCAACTCCAAGGTTCCTCACAAGACTTGCCACCTGATTCCATCTCAAGGCCATCTTTTCTCTGACTTCCCGGTAGGCTAAGGCAGCCTTGGCCACTGCTCTCCTATAATGTTTCTCCACAGCCAAGGCAGAGCACCGCCTGGCCTATCTCCTCTGCTTCACTACCCTAAGCCCTTCCTTCGGTTCAGTGTCCCCAGCTTTAGTAAACATCCCCTCAAAATCACCTGGACTCTTGTTGTGAAATCTTTCCTGCACAAAGTCAAGAACCCACACACCACCGGCCAGCCTCAGACACAGAACCACTCCGGGCCTGTCCCTCCCTATCCATAACCATATATCCCTTTAACTGTCAAACTTCCCTAGAGAAAGAAACATAGAAATGATGACACAAAAAAGAAAAGAAAAAGGAAAAAGCACCCGAGACACCCATCTCACATCTTTTGGTTCTCTTGCCTAAAGAAAACCAAAATTCCATTAATTACAGAACTTTCTTGCCTTCCATAGTGTCTCTCTATTCATTTACCTATTAAATAGCCCAAGTGCTAAGGTAAACTAGAAAGAACTGTAATATTCAACGAGAAAAAGAAAAGAAACTTGATGTTGGAATCCAAATATGGCAGGAATTCTGCTTCCCTAGAATTCAAGAGAAAAAGCCCCGTGAAGTGAAGAAGACTGAACGTCAGTGAGAATGGAAAGGGTTCCAGAATAAACCTGACACAGCTCAGTGAGGGAAGGCAGCTCACAGGGCGATCTGATCACAGACTCCGAACTGCAGGAGATCAGGAAGGGTCATCCGGGCCTCGGGGCCTCACATATCCTACCACAGTGCTTGTTTACCCGCTGCCTTTAGCACGCCCTGCCCGCTGCTCTCAACGCACCTTTGAAATGCGAGAAAGTCATCTGTCTTTTTCAGACCCTGAGCTTTAGCAAACCTCAAAAGAGCACGTGATTGTTATCCGTGTCCTGTCATCCAGCCCTTTCCTTGCCATCTTTCACCTTCACGGAATCTTCTGTGTTTCCTCTTTAACGCCAAAAGTTTTAAAAGAACTGCAAACTGGCCAGAACCGGTTTGTCTCAGTGGATAGAGCGTCGGCCTGTGGACTGAAAGGTCCCAGGTTCGATTCCGGTCAAGGGCATGTACCTTGGTTGCAGGCACATCCCCAGTGGGGGGTGTGCAGGAGGCAGCTGACCAATGATTCTCTCTCGTTGATGTTTCTAACTCTATCCCTCTCTCTTCCTCTCTGTAAAAAGTCAATAAAATATATTTTTTTTAAAAAAAAAAGAACTGCAAACTGAAAATGCTCTTAGGGACCTTTTCTCAGTCTTTTTGTTTGAACAGGTCTGCAAGGGACTGGCTGGTACTGTATGTGGGTTCTTGCCTCCATGCAGAAAAGATTTCACAATAAGAGTCCAGATGATTTATAGGGGACGTTTATTAAAGCTGGGGGAGGGGGGGCGCAGTGGAAAATAAATGCAATACTATCCAAAATAACAAATATATTTAAAAATGAAAAAATAAAGCTGGGGACAGTGAAACAAGGAAGGGCCTAGAACAGAAGCAACAGGAGAGGGACTAAGGAGGCGGGGAAATGAGCCTAGGCTGGGCTGCTTTGGCTCCCTAAGAAGATAGAGAAAAGGGGAGCAGCTGCCTGACAGACACCCGTAGAGTTTGGAAGGAGAGTGGGAAGGGACAGGCCTGGACATGTGTGCTCCTGGGAGGGAGAGCTGCGTGCTAGGTCCTTGGTTTTTAAAGGCCGGGAGTTTGGGGGGAAAGGGGTCTTAGTGAAGGATCAATAGAATATTCATCATCTTTATGTTGATGCGCCAAAATGAGATGTATTCCCTTAGCTTCATCTGTCTGTCCATGGACATCTGCTGTCTATCTCCCTGAGTAGGGGGTGACTTAAGCTATTCATCCTCCAGTTGGGGAGAACTGTAAACCATTTACTCTTAAGTGTCCTTGGTTTAGGGTAGATGGGATTTATTAGATGGCTACAAACTGCTTGCTTAACGATCTGTCTCAGTCTCCCTATTCTGTTTGCCCTGGCTTACTTAGCCTGCCTCATTTTGAGATCTTGCTTCAAGGCCTATCCTGTATTTAGACCAAATAAATTCTAATAAACTCTAAATTTTTCTACAAATTCGAGCTTTTCCATGTCAACACCAGATTTGGAGCTTAGACAACCCCAGTTGAGACAAACCTCTATTGAGTTGGTCAGTGTGTGTATGTGTGTGTGGGAGGAGGGGGGATGAAAGACACCTGAGCAGCCCTGGACTGAATTCTTAGAAAGCTCCACACACCCTCCCCTCTTGTAAACACGGGATTCCCCCCACCCTCAGGCATCCATCCTCACAGTGAAGAAACTCAGAGCCTGATCTAGTTTAAGGCTATGACCCAAATGGCCCCCAATTTCATGAATCATTTATCCATGAGATAAAACACCCAATCTTCACCCTTGCTCAGTGTATACAAACTATAATCTGAATGCAAGACAACCACAAAATCTACAAGCGTCTAAGCCTAAAAAGCCACAACTACAACCTCAGAAAGGGCCTCATCACCGCCACCCTACGCCAACCCTCCCTCCCTGCCGTGCTCCCCATCCCCACCCCGCCTCGCACCCCCAGCTTTCCCCCAGCTCTCCCGGGCTTCCTGGCTTTTCTCCGAATCTGACATGAACAATGCGGCTTTGCAAGACTAAGCCCTGGGATTACATATGAAAACCCCGAAAATAACACACCCATCAGAAACTTGCTGTACATGCTCAGGAAGGGAGGATTCTACAAAAACAGAATGTAATGCTGCAGTACTTTTAAGTTTTTTGACCCTCCTGCCTGTCTGGAACTATTTTATGCTGTCTTCCAAGCTCCAGCATTTTTACTCTCATTGAAAGCAAATAATTCCTACATTAATACATGTTTCCAAGTGACAACCCCAGGGAAGGAGCGGTAATGCCAGGAGAGAACAACCAGGAAAGTTCCCCAAGAGGAGCCTCCCAGGCGGGGTCCCCATAGGGTGCGGGGCCCAGGAAAGGGGATGGGAGAGACCACGGAGGAATTCATCGACGTCTCCCAGGGGGTTGCTGTCGGCTTTCCCCTCATGGAAAACCGCCACAACAAATACAAACCGTTACACACACACACACACTCATACACTCTCATACACACACTCACACACACACTCATACACTCTCATACACACACTCACACACACACACTCATACACACACACACACTCACATTCATACACACACACACACACTCACACACACTCATATACACACATACACTCATACACACTCACACACACACTCATACACACACACACTCACACACTCACATACACTCATACACACTCATCCCACACTCACTCATACACACACACACTCACACCCACACACTCATACACACACACTCACACACTCACACACACATTCACACACATTCATATACACACACACACACATTCATACACACTCATACACACTCACACACACTCACACACTCACACACACACACACACACTCACACACACACACTCTCACACTCACACACACTCACACACTCTCACACACACACACACACTCACACACACACTCACACACACTCACACACACTCACACACACACACACTCTCACACACACACTCACACACTCATATACACACACATTCATACACACTCATACACACTCACACACACACACACACTCACACACACACTCACACACACTCACACACACTCACACACACACACACTCTCACACACACACTCACACACTCATATACACACACATTCATACACACTCATACACACACACACACACTCTCACACACTCACATACACTCATACACACTCACACCCACACTCACTCATACACACACACACTCACACACACACACACACACACACACACTCACACACACACACACACTCACACACACACACACACACACTCACACACACACACACACACTCACACACACACACACACTCACACACACTCACACACACACACTCTCACACACACACTCACACACTCATATACACACACATTCATACACACTCATACACACACACACACACTCTCACACACTCACATACACTCATACACACTCACACCCACACTCACTCATACACACACACACTCACACACACACACACACACTCACACACACACACACTCACACACACACACTCTCACACACACTCACACACACTCACACTCACACACACACACACTCACACACACACACACACACTCACACACACACACACTCACACACACACACACACACTCACACTCACACTCACACTCACACACACTCACACTCACACACACACACACACTCACACTCTCTCACTCACACACTCACACACACTCACACTCACACTCACACTCACACTCACACTCACACTCACACACACTCACACTCACACACACACTCACACTCTCACACACACACACTTCTTTGAAAAGTCCACCTGTGCCTCCCAGACGGGCATCTGGCTTCGGGAATGAAGTTGAGGAGACTGGAAACGCAGAGGTGCCCACCACTAGGAAGAGCCACCTGGGGGTCGGGGAGCAGAATCTGGGGTTTGCGGCTGCTTCCCAAACCACTGGAAACTCAGGGAAACGGCCCAGAGGTCACAGGCGAACCCAGCCCCGCCCACCCGCGACCCCGGGAAGCCAGGGCGCGCCGCGCGGCGGTCTCGGTCCGCGGGCTTCAGGCTTGACCACCGGAGAGCCGGGTCTTGCCCCGGTGGCCCAGGGGGCCTGGGTCCCCGTCCCGGACCCCAGCCGCGCACACTCACCATCTCCCCGGGGTCCCCCCCCCCCCCCCCCAGCGGTCCTCTCCGCTCCGCGGCGGGTACGCTCACGGCGGGACGGACGCCCAGCAGGTCCGGCGCGTCCGGCGCGTCCGGCGCAGGTGAGCCTCGGGGCGGCCCGCCCGCAGGTCCCGGGGTTCGCGGGGAGCGGCCCCGCCCAACTGCCCGCCCCGCCCCTGATTGGGCGGTTTGCGAGGACCCGCCTCCCTAGCTCCTGAGTGACAGCCGAGGGAACAGCTCAGGTGGTGGAGCAGCACCAGCTTCCGCTGGGGGGCGGGACCACCCTCCAGGGAAGTTTGCTTTTTGAAAAACAAAAAAACTCGCAATATACAAACATATTTAACAAAAGTAAAAGGTACAGTCAAGCAGGCACTAATATCATGAGAAAAAGCACCTAGGAGAAAGCTTATGTTAAACACCTCACAGGAACCTGCTTCCAGTTGCATTTAGCTGATCTCTGATGCTGTGACGACACAGCTCAAGCCCGGGAATGGATGAACGATGCACTGAATGCTACATAGGTACACATATATATGTCCATCACATTGCCCCCACCCCCAAATGTAATTTTGGGGGTGGGGGCAATGTGATGGACGATCCCCCAATGGAAGAGGTCGTCTAGAGAGAAAAATATGCGACCTGGCTCCTGGATCGCGTTAGGCACCCAGCTTAGACTCTGCTGAGCACAGGCGTCTTCACACCTCGGCGGGGTTGGAAAACTTGTTTGGAAAAGTTCTTTGGGTCACATGACACTCTCGTGTCCATTGTGCTCGTGGAAGTATCTGTCAGCGTCCTGGATCAGATTGTGTGCCTTCTGCAGGCAGGTGGGCGGTGCATGAGGGTAGGAGGTGCACGCGGGGAGGTGGGGTGGGGCAGGGAGAAGCTGGCCAAACGTACCCCGCACTCCAAGGCCTGGATTGTGCTGTGACCAAGCCCAGGGACATTTGCTTTAAACCATACTTCCTGGTTCTAGAGGGATAGTGGCGTCCTCCGCAGACACAGATGTGAAGAAGGAACTTCCGAAGTTGCCATCCTTGTCCTCAGCAGAAGGGCCTCTCAGGCCAAGCCAGACTGGGACCAGGGGGTCAGAGGTTGGCAAACATACTTTAAAATGTTTACAAACACACTTAAAAATAGCCTCACCGTATGCAGTGGAGAGTTGGGGTCCATTTTTATGTTTATTGACAGCATTTAGACTCCCACCCATCCCACCTCTACCTCTATGCATGTGGTACTTTAGCTAAGGAGTCCCATGGCTTCCCAAACATTTGGATCTGGTGACAAATTTGAACCCAGCAGAGCCACATGGGTCACATGGGTGCAGGGACTCTTCAGTGTACAATCATAAGCTTGAGCTGTGCTCAACAAAACTCACAGGTGCACTAGTACATTGTACAGTAGGAGGGGAAAAATTTTATAGTTGTTTTTTAATCCTCCCCTGGGGACATGCTTAGAGAGAGGAAGAGAGAGGAGAGAGAGCGAGAGCGAGAGCGAGAGCGGGAGCGGGAGCGGGAGAGGGAGCGGGAGAGGGAGCGGGAGAGGGAGCGGGAGAGGGAGAGGGAGAGGGAGAGGGAGAGGGAGGGGAAGAGGGAGAGGGAGAGGGAGAGGGAGAGAGAGAGATGGATGTGAAAGAGAAACTTCAGTTGATTGCCTTCTGTATATGTGCACCTATGGGGGATCAAACCCAAAACCCAATTATGTGCCCTAACCAGAATCCAACCGGCAAACTTTCAGTACGCAAGACAGCGCTCAACCCACTGAGCCACTCCAGCTGGGCTCTTTTTATACTTTTTGAGCGTGGGCCTAGAGATTTTGTAATGTAAATGGCTATGACATCCATAAGGCAATTGAATTTCTATTTTCACCAACATAAAAAAAATAATAATAAAAGATTTTGGAAATTTGAATGTTTATGAAAACTCAATATACTTAACACATTGGTTCAAAACTTCTAATTATTTGTATATTTAAATAGCTTTATTGAAGTACAAAAGTCATGCTTCTGTTTAATGTGTACAATTCAGTGATTTTCAGTATACTCACAGAAACATACAAGCATCAGTTTTTGAACATTTTTGTAGTCTCAAAAAGAATCCCCTATGCCAAAACCATTTTTGCTCAGTGGATAGAACATCGACCTGCAGACTGAAAGGTCCCAGGTTCAATTCCAGTCAAGGGCATGTACCTTAGTTGTGGGCATATCCCCAGTAGGGGGTGTGCAAGAGGCAGCTGATCGATGATTCTCTCTCATTGATGTTTCTAACTCTATCCCTCTCTCTTCCTCTGTGTAAAAAATCAATTATATATATATATATATATATATATATATATATATATATATATATATATATAATTTAAAAAGAATCCCCTATACCCTATAACTATCAATTCTCCATCTTTTCATGTTCTACCTGAAAACCACAGTCCTCTTACCTTTCTCTTTCAATAGAATTCTCTTTTCTGGGTTTACATATGAAGAGAATCATATAATAAATTGTCTTGATAAGTAACTTTAGTAGCAGTATATTTTTTTTCTTTTTTTTAAATACATTTTATTGATTTTTAACAGAGAGAAAGGGAGATAGAGAGCTAGAAACGTCAGTGAAAGAGAAACATCGACCAGCTGCCTCCTGCACACCCCCATTGGGGATGTGCCCACAACCCAGGCACATGCCCTTGACCAGAATCAAACCCGGGACCCTTCAGTCCGCAGACTGACGATCTATCCACTGAGCCAAACCGGCTTCGGCAAGTATATTTTTTTTCAAGAAACATCCATGAAGTAGTATGTATGGGACACTCCATTTCTTTTCACAGCCAAATAATATTTGATCGTTTGGATAAAGCACAATGTGTTTATTAATCTTTTAATAGTCATTTGGTATGGTTCCAGCTTTTGGCTATTCTGAATAATGTTACAAAAAAAGCCTATATGGCCCTAACCTGGTAGCTCAGTTGGTTAGAGTATCACCCCAATATGGCAAAGTTCCAGGTTCAATCCCCTGTCAGGGCACATAGAAGAATCAACCAATGAATGCATAAATAAGTGAAACAACAAAACCATCCACTTCTCTCTCTCTCAAATCAATAAAGTTAAAAAAAAAAAAAAAAAAAAAAAAAAAAAAAGCCCTAGCTCGTTTGGCTCAGTGGATAGAGCATCAGCCTGCAGACTACAGGTTCCCAAATTTTATTCTGATCAAGGACACATGCCCAAGTTGTGGGCTCCATCCCCAGTAGGAGGCGTGCAAGAGGCAGCTAATCAATGATTCTTTCTCATCATTGATATTTTTGTCTCTCTCTTCCTTGCTCTTCCTCTCTGAAAGAATTCAGAGCCAAGTCTCAAACTCTAAGGAGACAGTCACAGAGTTAGAAGTAAGCCATAGAATAAATGGGCTCAGGAAACAAGTTGCAGAGTCAAAAGGGAGAGAGGAAGATAGAGGTAATACGCCTGGGGGGAAAGGAGAGGGAGGGGCATGCTCCTGGGAGGGAGAGTGTTGGGTCTTTGTGGTAAGAGCTTTAAAGGGTGATGACTTTAGGAGAGGATCTCAATAAAATATTCAGCAGCTTTTCACTAGTGTCTCCTCAGGGCTGTGGTCTCCACTGATTGGTCTGCTCAAAGTCAGGGGGTCATCAGTCAAGGCAGTTGGCCCTGATGTCATCAATGGCACTGCTTATGTGGCATTGCTGCTTTTCTGGGCCTAGAGCTGAAGCACAACTGAGGCCTAGATGTGTTTGACGCAGGCCAGAGCCTCATTCTCCTGGGGGTTCAATGCTGGTCTCTGGCCCCCTTATTTATTCTCCCTCTAAGGGTGTTATGCAAAGTGCTGAGGTCCCAGAAAAAACTCAGCTTATTGCTCATGGACTCCAAATAACCCAGAGGACTGTCTGTGAAAGGCATGGGGTTGTTAGCATTTGTGTGTGCACTGGTAGTGGCCGACTGGTGAAGTTTATCTTGGCACCAGCTGCCACCAGCGAAGTTGTCCGGCTAAGTCCCATCTGGCCTGCAGACCGGCCACACCAGGGGTGGCTGGCTGGTGCAATTGTTTTTGCTGCCCCAGACTTTCCTAGCACAAATTTGGTTTTTTTTGGTTTGTTTTTCAGCCCAGCACAAAGTTTTTATAAAGCACAGGAACAGGAGGAAAACAGGGCATGCAGAGGGAGGACAGGCCTATAAGTTGTGTGAGGTCAAAACAGTAGCTGTTTACAATCCAGACTCACATCTAGAAGCACTTTCTCTATGGCCTTTCTTAGTCTGAGGAGCTGGCCAGATTCCCAGATTCCCTGGTCTCACTGGCTGCCTACTGATGGCCTTCACTGCATTTCCCACTGGGTGGATGGAGATGGGGGTGGGGAGGAGAGTTGGAGCATGAGAAGGGCCCCCTGTTCCCGTCTACCATGTAAAGGGGGTCTAACCTGCATGACTAGCCACATGTCAGCAATATGAAAGGTCAGGGGTTCTAAACTGAATGACCAGCAATATGCTAGGGGAGGAAAGATGACCCTAGTTTTGCCAATTGCTAGGCGCCCATGGCTCTCTGCCCTGGTGACCTTCTGTACCTCGCCCGTCATCCTTGCTCTGCTCATGTCTGTCTACCTGCTTCCCACACAAAAACATGTTCAACCTGATCCTCATCTGTGAAGAGTGAGTGTGCAACCAGGTGGCAAAAAAAAAAAATCTGAATTTCAGAGAGCAGGAGGCCTGCTCCATGTGAACACCCAGGACAACCACGGAGACGCCATCCTGGGCACCCGTGAGCTTTGCCAGGACTCTCAGCACACGAAGGAGGGGCAGTGAGAGCAACAAGCTGCTGAGATTTTTTGTTGTTGTTGTTGTGGGGGTTTTTTTAAACATATTTTATTGATTTTTTTTACAGAGAGGAAGAGATAGGGAAAGAGAATTAGAAACATTGATGGGAGAGAAACATCAATCAGCTGCCTCTTGCACATCTCCTACTGGGGATGTGCCCGTAACCAAGGTACATGCCCTT